GTTGAAAAAAGAGCTCAGTATGTTTTACAAGTTGAATCTATACATGTTTACTCATTACTGTTGAGTTCAGTGGAGATTGCTTTTGAGCATGTATACATAGGATTACAGTCTTAGAATCCGAGTATATACTTGGGAACAGTTAGAAGTTACAAAGTATTTTACCATTGGAACAAAGCAGTTTTCTTCTATCCAACTCCCTTTTGAACAGAGATGATTACTTAATATTTAAATGAAATATGTGGCTTGGGGGAGGAGGGTTGATAATCCATGTTAATTTGGCTGGAGGGATTTTGCTAATTTTCTCATGGGGCAATAAGAGTAGCATGCAGTATGTGATAGCAGTAATTAATCATTCTGTGGGTCCCAAATAAAGAAATTTGCTTAGGAAATTTTTGGTTTCTATCATGAATTTTGATTAAAATACATCCAAGTGTAGCTTATCCAAATCCTGTGGGCAATGAGTTTAAGTGATCTAGCTGGGGAAAAATGTGCATCTGAGAAGTAGACTATGCTATGAAAATTCATTCTTCACCTTGAAAAGATGGCCATTCTTCCTGCCTTCTTTGCATTTTGCTTCTTAGTAAATAATAATAAAAAAGGAAGTATCCTTCTTATTTCAAATTTCTCACTTCCCTAAAGTATGTGCTTGAACTAGAAAACAGCAATATAAATGTTATTGACTAATTGAAAAGGTCGATAGAGGGACATTTTTCTCTCACCCTCATAATAGTACAACTTGGTGTTATCCAATGAAGCCGACTGGTGGAGGGGGGAGTTTCAGGGAAAATAAAAGGAATTAGTGCTTCACTCAGTGCATAGTTAAACTATGGAATCCACTTCCACTCGGTGTAGTGATGGCTACCAGTTTGAATAGCTTTACAAAAGGGATTGTACAAATCCATGCATAAGAAGGCTATTAATAGTTCTGGTAGCTGCATGCTACCTTCAGTATCAGAGCCAGTTCCTGGGGGGCACAGATGGGAGGGTGCCTGGTATCCTGCTTGTGGGCTTTTCACAAGCAGCTAGCCAGCCATTCTGTGAACAAAATGCTGGACTAGATTGACCCTTGATCTGATCCAGCACAGCTCTTAGGTCTTTTCATTTTTAAAAAATATTTGAACTTAGAGATGACATGTTTGCGTATATAGTTGGAAGCAGTCTTAAACTTTTTGAAAGTGAAAAAAACACTTGAACTGCAAAGTAAAGTGCAGGAACTACCAAAGTATTTGTACTGCAAAATGAACACATTATTTACAATCAAGTTGGGATTGGATTTCACTGCTGACATGTGGAATAATGTTTGGCTACAAGGCAAAGCCATAATTTGTGAAACGTTGGACAATCCACATGTTGGGGTGGGGTGGGAGGAAAGCATGTAGTACAACTTTCCTTGGTTCTTTTTGAATGAAGATGGGGAATATGCATTGGAAACTATCACAATCCCTGCTTCTACATAACTGTTCAAGATGAAGGAGCCCAGTCATCTTTTGCATCTGGCCCCTCAGCATCAAAAACTCAGAAATAAATCCCACTGAGTTCAGTGGGGTTTATTTTCATGTGCACATGCATGGAATTGCTGCCAGAGTGCTTGACTGGTTCCCATATTAGAATAAAACTGGGATCCTGCATCTTTAATAGCTATGCAGAAAGGGAAATTTCAGCAACTGTGCACTTAGGTGGCAGACTAAGAAATTGAATTTGCAGAAATTCCCTCTTCTACACATTGTCAAAGCGGGAGGAGCCTTAATTCTTTTTATGTATAAAGATGCACCATATCAGAACTTCCCTAGCCATAGAAAACTCACATCAAGGAGAATTCTGGCAAAACCTTGTACCTGATATAATAATTTTCTGTCGGCAAAGGTTTTGTTTTTTAAATATAGAGGAGAATTTAAAAATTCCATCCTCTGGTATGGTTCCAGGAGGGCTATACTACATGCTGTTCCTGAATTTGTAGACCATCCTTTAGAAAACAAGATTAGTTTTCTTCTCAGCCAGAGGATATGGTGCTGTGGGACAGGTTGCTAGGCTCACACAAAAACCTAAAACTCAAAAACCTCAATGGCAGTACTGCTTTTCTGAAGCATTGACACTACAAAGCTAAAGATCCACATTGGGCAAGAGTTGATTTTTTTTAATTTACTCACTGGGAAACTACTGAATGAAATGCAAATGTTTAACAAATGCTATAATGCTCTTTGAAATCAGTTTCATGGCATTTAGAATTGAAAAAATACTTTCAGAAGCAATCCAAATAAATACAGTTCTTCATCTGAACATTAGAACTTGACAATATATTTCACCACAAGAATTTATGTTCCTGGGCCTTTTTCTACATATTTGTGTTCCAAGATCCTAGGTCTTTTGCTGAAGCACATTGGAGATAATATAGTGGCTTAAAGAGCATTGTGACTATTGCAAGTAATCGTATTCTTTAAGTGGACATTTTCTGTTATCTAGCACATTCCCCCCAAATGTTTGTTTAAATTGTGGTGTGTGAAGGGCACAATTCACTGCTTGGAGGCAGCTTCTCAGTTGAAACAGTCCTCCAATAATCTTCCAAACGTCCATGGGTTATTGGAGGGTTGCTTCCCCCTCTAACAAGCCATGCCAGCTGGGTTCAAATGGCGCTCCAAGTCCTGCCCAGGCAGTGAATGTAGACCTTGTGCCATACACAAACCACAATGTAAATAAGCCATGTCTTATTTTGTTCACGTGATCTGGTCCACATTGTCTCCCTGGAAAATATCCAGAACTGAAAGCAACATTCTTTCCTCCTTCATGTAGCACTTCTGAATGTTTGTGTGCCTGTAAGCAATGATTGGGGATGGGTGAACCTGACAGATGTTGCATATTTTGTCAGTGTCTTATACTGATTTGTTATAATTTCTCCTGACCTTTGAATAAACTCCCAGGTTGGAAACAGTACTACTGCATATTATTCTGGTTTCATCTTTCAATAAAAAGTTTATTTGAATTTACTTCATGCAAAACTGGCCTTGAAATGTGGTCAGGATAACCCCTAAAGTGTCCTGCAGATATTTGTGCATTTGTATCTTTTCTGCGGCACATTTTCTTTTCAAATCTAAGAGTTAGCCAGTGGGAATTGTCCTTTTCACATGACACTGATGATGACATGCAGTAATTTAAAATTTAATTTATATCCATTGACTTGAAAAGACATGAGTAACTAATTCACCATTACCACAATTTCCAATTACCACAATTATACCACAACATTATCCAAAAATGATATAGATTGAGCGTCTGACTAAAAGGAAAAATAAAAACTTGCATATAGATAATTTCTAGTACTTAAGATAGCAGCTGTCAATCACTACAGTTGTGTATACCATTGTATTCTAAAAACTATACAAGTACTGTTTTCTCTGTAATACTATTTGTAAATGGTTAGTAATAAACATCCAAAATATACTATATTTCTGTGACATAAATAAATTTACCCCATTTTGTGCAAAAGCAATTCCTTGTAGTAATATTCTTGTTTTGAATATAAAGTTGGTCACCCAGTCTGAAGGTTTTCTTCCAGCCCCACACTTACTGTCTTTCAATCTAAAAGAAGATGAGGAAGCTTGGCCTTGGATCCAGAGATGCTCCTATATAGGAAGAAAGCATTTCCGCTTGTGCAAGGTGCCTTGGTCATTTCTGCCATTTCCTTTCCTCCCATTGCAGCCTACCTGCCCATATTCCACATCATCTTGGAGGATCTCCAGAGCTTTATTCTGGCAGTGGACTGCCCTGGGGAGGAGGGAGCGGGAAGGTCAACTTACACAAGCAGAATTCTGCTTGTGAGTCCTTGGATCTAATTTTAATTTGAGCTTTTGATGAGAATTAGCCAGTGCAGCATAGCAGTTAAAAGTGTTAGACTGGGACTCAGGAGATCTAAGTCCTACTCCTCACTCAGCCCGGAAGCCCAGTACGTGACTTTGGTCACTGACTGCCTCTCAGTTTAACCTATCCCACAGGGTTGTTGCAATAATAGAAAGGAGAGGAGGAGAACCTTGTAAATGCCTCGGGTTCCTTGCTAGAGGAAGAAAGGTGGGATATAGATGCAATGTAGTAATAGTAACAGTAATAGTGTTTCCCAGCACTATTCTCGTCTTACAATGGAGAAGGCTATTATATCGGAGAGTGAGAACTCTCTAACACGAAGTATCTTCAGGGATCAAAAAATCCTTAGTTTTATTAATGAAATATTATCCTATCATTATCCAGCACTCATCCACAGAAAAGAGCAGTAATTCTTGTGATGAAACAAATGTACCAATTTAAGAATATAAAGTCATGCTAGACTGAATTGGAGGCCTATCTAGTCCAGTTCCATTTAAAGAGTGGCCAGCCAGATAGCCCATGGGAAGACAGCAAGCAGGCCATGTTCCTGAACTAGTATACAGAACCGTGTTGTTGTTTTTTTCCATTAGGAAAAGCAACTGTAGTGTGGTAATTCCAGTGGGTTATGTTAGGAGTATTTTGTCCTTGATTCCTCATTTGGTTTGATGAGTTAAAGAGGCAAGGTTGGTTGCTGGGGCTGCACATAGGTGGGTTACAGGTGTGTTAACTGATTAAAGAAAATTTAATTGATCTTCCATTTAACAAAATAATCAATTTAATGTCTTTAAAACACAAATTACCAAAATCTCAGTAGTTCAATTTTTAGGGTTTTTTTTTCATTTCTTAAGTAAGTACAAAATACTCTTAACTTATAATTTACCATGTGTAAATTTCCAAATTATAAGTTAAACTTTAACATTTAATAAAAGAGAAAATTGTTGGACTGAAATATCATTTTTAGCATTTTCTTTTCCAGATCTTATTACAGTAGCACAGTGCAATCAAAAGTAAAAGAAGTATACACTACAGTTCTCATTCTCTTCAGTTAACTACTTGATATAAACGTATTGGTTTGCAAGTCCTGGTAGCTTACAGAACTTCACTAGAAGTTCACATATCTCAGTCTACTTCCTTGCTTTATTTCAAAGGGTCGCACTAAGAAGCCTACACCGATAAAATATGAAGCTGGAGATCTGGTATGGGCAAAGTTCAACCGACGTCCATGGTGGCCCTGTAGAATTTGTCATGATCCTGTGCTAGATACTCATTCAAAAATGAAAGGTAATGTATTCCTTGCATTTCATGATAATAGTATGCATGCTTTGCCTTGGGTGAGTTTGCATGTGATACTAAGCCACCCTGGCAATAAGCCACAATGGATTGGCTGTTCACTGAACAACCAGTGGTATGCCTATAAACAAGGTGGCTCACTGTGGGTTGCTCCTCCTTTCCTTCCCCCTCAGTTCTCCAGCTGATAGCCCGGGGAACTTGGCAGCTAAAACCATCTTGTCTCCTCTTTCTGACATGATTGCAAGCCTTTTTTAATTTGCTGCCACTTTTCTCCCTTTACCTATTTTTTTAGAGCTCAAGCAGTGCATTGGAGGATCTGTCACTGGTTGGTTTGATAGCTATCGAATGTCAGGATTGTTTTGCAAACAGATTTAGGCCAGATTAGATAAGAGTAGTCCTGCCTAAGTCACATGATGTTTTCCTTTAGGCCTGGGATAGGGAGCATTTTTACTTCCTAGGATTACATTCCATCATGGGCAATTTTCCAGGGGCTTCATGCCAGCAGTGGGTGGGACACAAACCACCATGCTTCTTATTTATTTGCTGTCAGTGTGGGATGGGTAGAGTCAACCCCTCACCCTGCTGTGGCAGTTAAGCTTAGAAAATGCCTCCTGTTGATTCCAGTATGAAGGTTTCTTCAGACCTAGTTGCTCCCCAGCACTGTGATTTGGGGTGGAGGGTCATAATGTGTGGAAAGGGTTAGTAATCGTCTCCCAGCTGAAGCCCTCCATGGCCATTTTACTGCAGTTAGAAAAAAGCTTCCCATTTGCTCAATCAGGAAACCTCTTTTAATCTTTACTTTTGCACATGGGCAAGAAGATCTGGTGTAGAGCAATTTAGAGATGACAAAAGCTATATTTGACTCACAAGCCACCAGTTACCCACTAATGGTTTGAGACCTGTTTACACAGTTGGCTATCTCTCCTGAGTAGACAACTCTTGCACTCACTTCAGCCTCCTACTTGCTTGTGAAGCAGGACAGAGGCTGCACTGAATTCAGAGAATCTAGCAACATCAGAAAAAATGAGGGCACTGGAATAGTCTCCAAGATTTCAGCAGAGAGGTAGGCTTAATATTTAGTATCACTCCATCTAATGTGAAGTCCAGTGATGAATGCCAACAAAAATGGAATCAAATGGGGTCACTTAGAAGTATTTCCATGCTCTAATAAAAACTCAAGAGGAAATGTTTCCTAGCTGGAGAAGAAAAATGGTTGTGCCTAGGGCAGACAAGTTTTTTCCTGAGCCCAGATAGCATATAGAATCCTGGAGGAAGGCATGGTTGGCTAGCTGGAACGCTAAACAGGAGGTAAGAATTTATTCCAGAGTTTTGTTGCAGGCCCCATTTGTTAAACCTTACTTAGAAAATGTGTTTTCTTTGGATCACAAGCTGGATGTTTAGACACTTACATTCCTGTACCTTGGTGCAAAGGGCAAATATTGTTAATGTTATTTCAATAGTCTCCAATCGCAGACCTTATCGGGAGTACTATGTGGAAGCCTTGGGAGAACCATCTGAAAAAGCCTGGGTTGTAGGAAAAGCTATTGTAATCTTTGAAGGAAGACATCAGTTTGAAGAACTGCCTGTTCTTCGGAGAAGAGGGAAGCAAAAAGAGAAGGGTTACAGGCACAAGGTAAAACTCCTGTTCTCATTTATTTTACATTCGGATGTCCTCATCAGAGTGCAAAACAAGACCCAGTCATAGTGAAGCATTTATTAGAATCCCATAAATCTCTGTTGGAGAGACTTAAGCAGGTACATAATTTTCTTATTGAAATCAATGGGATGGCAAAATGCTTAGTTTTGGATTGTGACCATAACATGTTGAAGTAGTTGCTCTAAGAATGACTAATTGAATTTGGGATATTGAGGCTGCTGATTGTATTGCATGTATTGGCTTGTTATTACAACTGGTTCAGATTTTTTAAAATTTATTTATTTATTTAAAGTTTTTATATGCTGTCCCAATACTAAAAGTCTCTGGACAGCTTACACAAAGAATAAATTGGAAACAATACCTAAGCATTATATTTTTTAAAAAACAGCCAGAATAGAACTGACATCTTTTGAGAACGTGTCATAGGGTTATTACTGGAGAAATGTGTGCACCTGAAAAATCCTAGGCTCTAGCCTGAATTCTTCTTAAAATCAGTATCCTGATTTTAGCTTCTTGTTGTGTATTGATGTTTCCAGTTTCATGATGCTGGCACACAATCAAGGTGACCAGTTGTTTGAGGCTGTTCCAGTCTTGATGACTAGGGTCCTAAAAATTTTGCTGTGTTCCGTCCAATGCTGGAATTTGTCTTTGGGCATGGTACCCATTGACCTACCTTTTAGTCATGTATTTTCATTAGTTAGGTGCTGCAGTTGCACTCAGAGAAGGCAGATGAGTTCATCTTCTATGTGGCAATATTCAGTTGCATATTATAAGTATTTTGTAACATTTCTCCCCTTCTTTTGCTCGAAGGTTCCTAAGAGATTTCTGGCTAAGTGGGAGATCAGTGTCGGCCTTACTAATGACTACCTTAAGCAGAATGGTACTCAAAAATGCATCCAGACTTCAAGCAAACTGGACAGTGAAAAGAATGCGCATTTAATGGGATCTTGTTCAAAGGAATCCTTAAATGAGCAGAGCAGGCAACTAAATGGGTGTTTGAAATCATTAACATTAGACTCCAAACTTTTAACTCCTGAGAAGGAAAAGATGTTCATTAAATCAAAAACGAAGAAGAGCTCTGACTCCAGAAAGAGGACTAGAGTTAAAAAAAGTAGCTCTAAGCTGGAGCCATCTAAGAGAGAGAATGGAGGGAAAGTGACAGTGAACAAAGTTAAAAATGTGATTGCTACAGACCTGCCTGATAAGCAGGCATCTCATGAACTTTGCAGAATAGCAAAGAGCCTAATGGGATCCAAAGGCACTGTAGAAAACTATTTGCTCTCTTCTTTTGGAGAAAGACAATTTGAAAATAAATCTAAGAAAACTGAGTACGAGATCACTAATAGAGACTGCCAGCAGGAGATACCCAAAGTAGACTTGAAGAAAAAGAAAACCCAGGCAGGCTTCTTGGGCAGTTCGAAATTACATCAGCACTACTCTGCAGCTGATGCTGGAGCTGGAAGGAAAGACATGGACTCTGATTCATCAGATACTGGTACCTGTGATTTAGACTCCCTTGACCAAAGTATAGCAGCAGCAACAACCTATGGTGTCCTGAAAAATTGTGACTTTGTAAATAAAAGAGGAAAGGAAATGTCTTCAGGGCAGAGAAATATGAAACATTCTGCATATGTCTCAAAAAGCAGCAATAGAAACCGCAGACCTCTGGAAAGCTCTCCAGATAGGAATGCCAGTGTTGAAGCAGGAGGTGAGAAATTCCACGAACCATCCCGTGCAACTGAGGTGGCTTCAGCTTACAGAAATGACAATCTTACCATTGTAGATAAGCATACTACACTCCAAAGTAAGGGGTTTGCAAGGCAAATGGATACAAAACAGCCTCAGTTCAGAAGTATAAAATGCAAACATAAAGGAACTGCTGCTGGGACAGAATCCTCTCTGAAGGAAGATGAATGTAGCCCCAACTGCTGCTTTTCTGGTACCAAAGGTTCTCCTGGGCCTGAGTTAGAGACACCTGCCAAAGGTGGGAAAGCTGATGGCCCGAAGCTGCCGAATAGCATTAATGAGACCTCCCGTGATTCTGCTGAAATCGAGACGGCGGTTGTGAAGCATGTGCTCTCAGAACTGAAGGAGCTATCATATAGGTCCACGAACGATGAAGCAAAAAGCTGTGGGCCACCTAAGACCACAGTGCCCTTACTCTTTTCATCTGTCTCTGGGCAGAATCATTTGCCTATTGAGCCTGATTATACATTCAGCACCTTATTAATGATGTTGAAAGATATGCATGATAGTAAGACGAAAGAGAAACAGATCATGACTACTCAGAACATAGTCTCCTATAGGAGTCCTAGCTGCGGCGATAGTTCTGGAAGTAACACTCTGAGTGATTTGACATCTTTGCCTACAATGGGAACCAGTCATAAATTAGAAAACAAACAAGATAGTGTTCAAGAAGCACAGTGTCAGAAACCCAAAGAAGGTCAGTCCCCTTTTTCACATGGTATCGCAACCAAGTTGATCAATCCTGGTGCTAACAAAAGGGAACTGGAAAATACTATTGTTTCTGGTACCAACTGCACTGCAAGGTGCAGCTGTCCAAGATCTAAGCAGCTATCCAAAGTAGTAGCTAATGTAACATCAAAGAGCAAATCCTTAAACCAGTTATCCAGTACAGCAGGAAGTGTCCCCCACCAGCACAGAGCTACCCAAGGCTCAGTTGCTAGTTCTCTAGACAATGCAATGGAAGATGTTGCAAAGAAAGTATCTCAAGAGCTGATGGGACACTCCCTTGCTGAAGACTCTGCAAACTCTTCTGATGGCAGTTTAGTTCATATAAGAATGAAGTCGGAATCTGGTAAAAAGAGAGTGCGCTACAGTTCTTTTGAAAATAGGGAGTGCCTAGAGCTGGATTTAGGACTGAATAGAGAAGGCTCCTTGGCTGATGAGCCTAAAGATGTAAGCCACCTAGTGCCCAAAAAGCAATGGCAGAATCTTAACCAAGGTAGTGCTAAAGCTGGTAAGCACATCAGGAGATCTAGGGAAGCAAAAGAGTTACATGCCTTTTGGCCTCCACTCAACAAAAACAAGTGTTGGAGGGCAGGCCATTCCCGGGTCTTTCAGAGTGACTTAGGGAGGACCTAACAGGCAAGAACTGTGAGAATCATTGCTACTTAGCTGCGCAGCATTTCACTGTGAATATTAAGTAAATGAAAATGTTGTTCATAACAGAATTCGAATTTTTCAGCTTGACTCCTAAGATTGCGTTCCCTGGGTTGCATGACTTCAGACTGATTTGTACTGTGAGGTCGTGCATGAAAAATAAATAATTCCTGCACCTAGAAAATGAATGCATGAGGGAGAAGGCTAGGCAAGAACCCAGCTCCCTTGACACCTAATATCCCATTAGGTGCATTTATGTATTTATTCAATAATGTGTGAACTCACACTTGTAGTCTGAACTGATAGTATTGGACAAGGATGGGCATGTTTGGAAGGTCTAAGAGCCATTTCTGCCATCCCCCATGGGCCCCCACAGAGTGGGTAGAGTTTAAATGTAAAAAAACCCTAAACCTGGAATGGCATGTGTAGCTGCTGCAAAATTCCCAAAGCACCAAAATTAGTTTTCAGAAAAAGCTGAGTTTTAGTGCTCTGTGAAAGCTTCAGACATAATTTTGTTTGCAATTTTTTAAAAAATGGGATGCCCTCAAATTTCAAGGATTGACAGGAGGTACTTTGCAAGGGCACTCACCTTTGCCTTAAAGGAGCTCCAGTTGTTGCCCACTCCGTCCGGGTTCAGTTGTTGCAGGTTAGCTTTGAGAGAGCATCTCAAGACGGATGCTTTGGGAGAGAAAATCATAGTCAGGCATTGCAATGTAGAAAAATCTGAGTCCATTTTATTTAAATATGGTTTCTGAAGGTAGCTTTTTTTTTGTGCTTAATTTAGCGTTCTGTTTACAACAGTGACAGTCTATAAGAATCAGTGCTGATTTTGGAAAAAAAATTGGTTTTCTTACCTTGTGTAGAAGCTTGGTTTACAAATTAAAGCATGATGAAGCCATGCTGCTGAGCATGACTGGAGACTTAAGGGGAGATTTTGGACTGCTTGGCAGCTTGCTTTGGATTCAGTGAGTAGCAGCTCATGGCCAGGTTTACACATGGGAAGCACAGTGAAGTGATAGAGATCGGAAGTGCTAAAATAAGCTGCGTTACTTCTGACTGCATTTTTAAAATATTCCTCGATGTGAAAAAGTCTCTGTGAGTAGAAAACTAGCACAAAAAGGAATGAACCACACTAAAACCTCTTCCCTCATTTTTCCCTCTTCTAAAACCTCTTCCCTCAGAAAACAGCACTCCCTACCTAAAGTCTGAAGTTGTAGATTCTGTTTTGCTACCTCAGGAATTCCTTGCCCTTTGGGAGGATCTGTATACCAAGCTGCATACAGGCTGAAACAGAAAGGCCAGTAGTAATGAAAATGCTTGTGTGTTTCTTCAGTGGAAAAGAACTGATGCACTAAATAGACTTTGTGTCCAAGACCAGTCAGGCCATAGTTCAGCTGTAGGATATTTGCTTTGCATATAGAAAGTCCCAACTTCAGTTTATTTTATTTTATTTTTTTAATTTATTTAGAAAATTTGTAGGCTGTCCATCACTGTCATCTCTGGACCGCTTACAACAGTTCCCAGCATCTTCCCAGGAAAAGTTCCTGGCTGAAACCCTGGGGAGCTACTTCCAGTCTGTGTTGACAGTACAGGGCTAGATTTGACCAATGAATTGACTCCTACAAGGCAACTTCCTGTGTTTGTTTGTCTCTACTAAAACCTTCCTTGTGATTAGGTTTGGTGTTGCTGATGCTTTTATTAAGTTGTGGCAGTATTGAGTAGTATGTTCAAGCACCTGCTCAGGGGCTTGTGAGACAATAGCTTCCTACCACAGACCTTTATGCAGACACAAAGTTTATAAAAGTCCCAAATACAAATTTCTGGTTTCAGATGCAAGACTTTTATAGGACTGTGAATAGCCATAGATTTAAACGTGTTGTGCCCAAGACAGATTTTTGAAGAATGTCATTTGGGCAAGAGTAGGAAGCAGAGGATGTCAAGAGAAGCTGTGAGAAGTATTACAATAATACAAAAAATTTAGGAAGTACTTTGTGCTTGCAAATGGCCTCACATTATCTCAAAACATTTACGATAACCTTGTAAAGTAGGCGAGATTTCATAATGCAGATTTGGACAGGGTGCTACTTGAGAATGTATGATTTGCTTGTGGCATTATATATGCTCATGGCTAAAGATATGATTGAACCAGAGATTTCCTAGCTTAAATATAATACTTTTGGCAGAAAGGTGACCATGAAATATATAATTTCACACATTGGACCAGCTCATGCGTTATGCTCAAACCATGATTTGGCTGCTAGTGCCATGCTTTAGGATTATATGCTGTTTTCTCTCCTAGATTAGAACAAACTAGTTTGCTGTGCTGCCTATAACAGGTGAACTGTGGTCAGAGAGTGTGTGAGCACAAAGCCTGTTGAAGATGGCTAGACCATTGTTCAGCTGCGACATTTAAAGGCCAGTGCATATGAACACACACCAGCTACCCTGATACAGAATGCTCTCTCCTTGCCACCAGCAGCAACAGCAAAGGAGAGCCATCCATATGTAAATCTCCAGTGGAGGGAATAGAGAGTACAGGTGGCAGGAGAATTAACAGAGTGGGATTTGAAGGAGGTGTCAGGGGGTGTACCTTTAGGGGGCTAAAATCAAGTTCTGAGGATGCAGGTTATGTGCCCCTAATTTAGAAATCATGTGATGTACATTAACATATAATCCAGGCTTCATTCATTCTCAGTGATTTCAAAATAATGCTGACTCTTGCTACAGATAGGTAGAAATTTTGGATTAACACCAGGAACCCTTTTGAGATAGTCAGTTTCCTAAGTGATGCTTATTAGAACAAATTCATAAATTACAGTCTGCAGGTATTTCATACACTAGATTCCTCAGTGACTAAGTAAAAGTTATCTTCTATTAAAATTAGTTTCCATTGTAGGAATGAGGAATTTACAGACTTTTAAATTGTAACTGTTACCTGTCACTAGAATAGAGAAGGGAAGGCTCAGAAAAATCCTAGAAAAAATGAGAAACATCTTTTTTTCCCCAAGGACTGGTTTATGTTTTCTGAAAAACTGAACTGCTTTGGATCATTAAATATCATCTTTTAGAACGATGAATAAAATATTTATGGCAAGATGTTCATATATTGCTTCTCAGCTTTTATGCTTCCCAGTTGATTTCTAAGCAATGTAATAAATAGATTTTAAAGAAAAGACTAGAGGTGTAAAATTTCCAGAGATAATGAAGTTAAGGGAGAAAACATCTTTCTTTTTTAAACCCTATCTGGATTTCTTTCATTCCTTATTAAAATTATTGATGTATCTAAAATTATTTAATGTGTCTTTCACTGATAGACATTTGGGGATGCCTGAAGTAATGCTCAGATTCCCAACAACTGAGTAGAGTCACCATATCATAATGTGAAAGAAAATGTGTATTCTTAATAGTTTGGATTTTGTTCTATAGAATCTTCTGGTTCTTGACTCATTCTAGTTAGATGCTATAGCAGTTAACAGAGCTCTAATTTAAAGATCACATGTGAAAGAAATGTAGGTTATCCTATCACTGCCTCCAGACATGACTGAACAGTATGTCAGTTATTCCCCCCATCTTTCTTTCTTAATTAATTAACTTTGATGCTTGAATCTATAGAACTTACTACCACAGCTTTTAATAAAGTTCTCAGACCTCACTTCTACAGAACGTTGCCTCAGCTAGAGAAATATTTATAACAACTGCCACTAGAATAATCCTCTCTACCTAAAACAATTTAAGAATGGGTTGACACTATCACCAGAGATAACTTTCAAAATGAAGTGGAAAAATTAAGATACTTATTAATGAAAGTTATTTACAAAGATGAATAAAATATAAACCTTCAAATAGTAGGTAGAGATTGCTTAAAGGTTCTTAAACATGGTTGTTTACCAGTCCTAAATTGAGTCTTTCCTAGGCCAATAAATTTTTAATAGCTTGTTCTTCAAACTAGTTTCCCTTAAATTCCACCTCAGAAGCAGGAGTGGGCTTAGAAATTCTTTAAAATTCTACATAAACAGGACAACTAGTTTCTTCTGACTCCCATCCTTCCTGCTTCTTCCGATATCTAGGATGATCTAGGTGTTTCAGAGACTACTTGCTACTTCTCTCTGGTCATAATAAATAGGAACTATTATTTGTTTGTTTTTATATACAGCCTTTTTTCCTTTCAAAGAACTTAACTTATATAGCTCACCCCCCTCTCAGTCTTTTTCTCACAACCAGAGCCCTGTGAGGTAGGTTGGTCTGAGATTCTGTGACTGGCCCAAAGTCACCTATGGCTGAGTGGGGACGATACCCCATGTATTATATATGACTTGGTTTGCTCATCATGTTTGATATATTAAGTTTAAAAGTACAGTTTATTCAGGCAATAATTGCAATTTATTCAGTGAGTTTACTTTGAGAAGCTTTTAATTTTTTTATGAGCCAAGTAAGTTATAGTTTGTGTTCCTAAAACAGCCTTCCACAATGTAGTGGTCTTCAGATGCTTTAGACCACAACGCCTAGCATTCATGAGCATTGGCCATTCTGCCTGGGGTGCATGGGGGCTGAAGTCTAAAACATCTGGTAGGTACCAGGTTGGGAAGGCTATCATAAAGTAACAAAGTAGCTTTTGATCTATAAAGTGTGCTTTTGAAAGTATTGCTTATTTTTCAGTTTCCCTATAATTTCTTTCTAAAGGAAAAAAAATCTATGGCTTCAATATTTCCCTCTTTATCCCAATAACAGCCCAGCATTTGAAGTAAGTGCAGAAAATAAAAATTGTGCATTCTCATTAATTTACTACCTGTGCCTCTTAGATATCTATTCCTTTTTTCTGTTCTTTGGTGTTGTTTTAAGTATGTCCCTTAAGCACACTGGTGTTTGGGGCTAAACAAAGGGATTCTGTTTTTCAAGATTCAAGATAAATACAAAAGCGAGTCCAAAAGCTCTGAGGCGGGCCAGATAAACAAGCATGACGGGCTGGATCCGGCCCACGGACCATAGTTTGAGGACCCATGCCTTAGACTATAACACTGTGTTCCACTTACTTGATTGGCTTCAGAGTTCTTTTGAGCTGAAATCTGTGCAGGGGGTGATCCTGCCTGGGGGCTGGGGACAGGGTTTCCCTGCGGTCTCCTACACTCCCTAGAAAGCTGCTTCAGAGGGTTATGGAATCCTCTTGAACAGTATATGAGGGGCTGCTGGGAGCTTCAGGAGTAAGCAGGCAGCAGCAAAACATACCTTCTTCCATTGGCAGTTTTCTCTGAATCTCAACCCCTTCCACAAATGGAAGAAACACTAAATACAATCCATTGTATGTATGTAAAAGCACTTAATTACATTTGCTGAACAGGAAAATTGATTTCTGAGCCTCTCTCTTGGTATGTAGCCACATTATCTCAGGATAAGTTCAGAATCATTTTCATAATGTGGTAGGGTGATCCAACCTTCTTTCTGTTCACAGTATTGATACTATGTCTGATTGTGGCTTTTCTCCATGCTGTTTTAGAAATAGCAACCAAAGCCTTAAAAGTGGGCAAGAAACAGAGAAAGAGATGCTTATAAATAAGATACTCATAATTGACTTGTTCATGTAACCCAGTTGGAGATTAGGTAAAAAAATAGATGATTTTTTTGTTTTTTAAAGACAAAATAAAATGCAGGTGGCAATGCTAGGGGCCTGGGAGAGCATGCCAGGAAGGAGACCACATTATTCTGTAATCAGAGAAACAGATGTGACTTCATTCCTGCTTCAGCCACAGCTGCAGATGCTTCCAACTATGGCTTCTTATCCTATATGTGTCTTTTCTTAGAGGGTAATGCACTCTTCTGGCTTGACTTGTATGTAGCACTGCTAATTCAGGCTTGGCTCAGTTTACACTGCCGGTGTAACACCTTCACACATAGATCAAGAGTTGCAAGTCAAGCATTCTAGTAGGGGATTGATTCTACTTCCAGCTACCCAAGTCTGGCAATGAGTTTCCAGATTTGGTTAGCTATAAGAAGGATGAAGACAATTCCACTTTGAAAGTTAGGGATTATGGAGTTTGCATTTCATGGATATCTGCTGATGAAAGAGAGGAGACCCAGTGTTTAAGGACAAAGCTCTGAAAATCCAAATGGAAAGGCTGCTTTTGAACTAACACAATGAGACAAGATTGATGAAAAGCTATTATTAAACTTATAAATGCACCACGCCATAAAACTATATTTCATGCCAGCCCCTTTGCTTTTCTAAGGAAAACTGAGAAGCTGGTTTCTCCCTTTTTCAGTTCTACATTCTGAGAAGAAACGCCTTAGAAAGCCAAGTAAGCGGCTTCTGGAATATGCAGAAGAATATGATCACATATTTGCACCTAAGAAAAAAAAGAAGAGCCAGGAACCATTTCGAAAGGTGAGTGCCCAATTGACTTGGCACTGGAATTTCTGAAAAACTGGATACATTTCAGTGGGATTTAACATGATTTTCATGGTTGTTAAAAAACAAAACAAAACAAAACAGACACAGTGATAGAAGTTTCCTTCTGATTGCTAAACTTGGCCTCTCTAGACAGCACTCCAGATTTTAGGGTAGGGTTGTCAAACCTCAGGCTTGTGGGTCAAATCTGGCCTGCCTGGGATCCTACCCTGGCTCTGCAGGGTTGTCCAGGTGGCCCCACCCCATTCCTCCAACTACTGACCATTTGTGATTTCCTGAAGTTTCAGCATAGCCTTCCCACTGCAGCATTCTGCCCTCCTCTAAGTTTTAATCACTGGCAATAAGAGCTTTACACTACAATATGCTGGTATTTTTGGTCCCACCTTTTGGTATTTGCCCCCATTCATCACTGAAATGTGGCCCCCAAGAGCTTACTTGAAATTGAATTCAGCCCTGCAGTAAGAGTGGCTCATCCAGGGATGCAATGGGCTGTGGAGGTAAGAGGGTGATGGGGGTTTAAAAAACCCTGGGTCTCTACAGTCCTGATTCAGTTGTGAAGACTACAGCTGGTGTTGTGGGTCTTTAGTACTAAGCAGAAACCTTTGTGCAGCTGTAGTGCAGAAAGCTCAGCATTCCAAGTCCACCTGCAAACATTTGCAGACTGAGTAGACTGAGGCAAGGAAATAAACTTTCTTATATTTGTGTGTGTTTGCTCCAAATGGGTAAGGATTTGAAGCACACCAAGGATTTGAAGATGGTCACAACTTGTAGGAGGCCTTGCTTAGCTGTCTTGAGCACATCAAGTCTAATCTTTATGCTAGAGTGATTCTGGTGCTGTTGGGAGTGCAATGACTAAGTAGAGAGGGCTTTGTTTTTGCACAATCATTTCTAATATATTCCAGAAGATTTTTTTACTCTAGTAGTGAAAAGAGATCAATGAATCAGAGTTGCCACTGAAAACAGCATCCCTGTGGCACACACTTCCCTAGTGGGGTGATGACTTGGTGGCATGAGGTGTTCCAGCTATTAAGTTACTCCATCCCTGCCTAGTGACACCCAGTCATGGGGAATAAAGGCAGAGAAACTCACAATCCAATGATACTGTGTCATATGCTGAGATCCACAGGATGTCGCCCATGGTGGGAAGAAGGGAAACTAGGCAAAGGAATCCCCATTTTCAGTGACAGTACCATGCGCTCCATAACTTCCTGTTCTACCCTGGATTTCAAAAATACTCCATTATCTGTGCTTAAGTTTTTTTCCTACCAAAGTTGACTATTTTTATTTCCTTTGATGTTCACCTGCTGAAGAAAAGTAGCTATATTCCTGAATGGCTATACACATCATTAGCATTTTTTGCCTACACAGGTTTGGTTGGTATCTTAAATATTTTCTTTTTATGTGTGGCTGCTAATAGGCAAGTTCTGTAGAGAAGTCTGAAACCAAACAGGATTGCAGTAACAACAAACAAGCCAATAAGAAACTTCTAGAAAAGAAGCCTTTGGATTCGGTTTCACCTGCTTCTTTATCTAAAGAATCTCCCCCTGTCCTTGAAGCTGAATGTTCTCTGTCAGATGAACTCGACTCCCATTCCATGGAACCTAGATCTGAAATGCCGGTTTTGACATTGTCTTCACCAAGTGCGTTGGAAGCTGCTATTTCTTCTCAATCACAAGGAGAGGAAGAGTTAAAGAAATCAGGTAAGATGTGCATTACTTGCATCTCCATTTCAAAGCAGTGCAGGCTTTTGTCTGTATATTATGCATCAAGTTACTTAGGTAAGTCAGTGTTGCCCATAAGTCAGTGTTGTGATTCATATAGCCTTGTTTCCAGAGTCTCCAGAGGCAGAACTTGCATAATCCAGTGAAAGGGGTGGAGAAACTTGATGCAAGTACATTCTTGGAGAAGAGAGTGTGTTAAAGACAATGTTGGAGGTTACAATGATCTAAGATTCACTGTTGAAGCACCCAGCCCTACAGTAGAGCTGATTGAAAGGAGCAGGAAGGAGAGATGCTGCAAGTAGAATACAAGGCCAGTTTGCAAGCTGATGGCATCTCATTAGGAAGTATGGCATTTGGAGGCCTAAAGACTTCCATTTGACGGTAGTTGAGACTTGCTAAGTTCTGTAAGCTACCTAGCTCCTGTCCTGCTATCCCGAAAAGCTTTGGAAGAGCCTGAAAAGAAGCTCCCTTCAAGATCTACCTACTGTTGTATTTGCTTTATGAATTGTAGTAGAAGATTCTTTCTCCCAGCTCCATTTATCAGAAAGTATTCTCAGCTCTAGCAATATTCAACAGTGCCAGTTTCCTTCTGCCTTCTAACTCAAAATACCTGCTATCGTTTTTTCTGGTTATCTCTTTCTTGTAGCAGAAACATCAGGGGCAGTTACACTTTTTATTGTTTCAGTGTATTTCAAATAATTACATAATATAATTGACTCTGTCAAGGATTCCATTAGAACCTGCATCTTAGGACTTTGCAGTGTGACAACTGTCTTGTCTCAGTTGTACTCTGATTTGAAGGATGCCTCTGTATGAAATGAACCATCTAAACAAAGGTGAGATGAGTTGAAGAGGGCATTTGACTGGTAAAATGGAAGGCATTGGGCCCTGGAGGAAGCAGATCAGTGGCATAATCATGGAATATTTCATTTACCCTTGCTGGGATTTCTTGGCTTTGGACAAAAGGAGGTGTAGCAAAGGATATTATTTTACTATTCTAGTTACCTGATGCTAGTAAAGCAAGTACCTGTACCTACTGGAGAAAGTTGCTTATTTGCATTTTTATTGCAGGGAGCTATGAAAGCAAACGTCAGAGGAAGCCAACTAAAAAGCTCTTAGAATCCAATGATTTGGATACTACTTTTATACCAAAGAGGGAGTGGATTTCCACAAAGAAGGTATGTTGCTTCCTTCAACTTCAAAAAATTATCTCGAATATAATCATCTGCTATGTGTTTGAGTATTAAATAATTGCAACTGTGTGACATTTTTAACAGTATACATTTGATTAAGGCATTGTGTCTGCAAAGTAACTCAGAAGTTTTTCTTAACCACACACAAATGCATGTGTATGCATGCATAAAACTGTCATGATCAAATCTAAGTAAACACAGTGTACAAGTTTGTCTATCATTAGTAGAGTCATGATCCATGAAACATCTTTTCAGTCCTCATTCATTTCAGCTGAGAGCGTCTAGAAGGACTTCCCTGTGTGTGTGTCCTCTAGTATAGACATCTTAAGAGTGGTTGTCTGGTTTGTTAGGAAGAGCAGAAAACCTCTGATACTCAAAATCTCTCTCTTCTTCCTTTTCTGTTGTTGTTGTATATGTGTGTTTTAAGAAGTAGCAAAAGCACTTCTTGCTGGAATTCAGAAGCAGAACTGATATCTAAAACTTTTTCTGTGCTGGAATTTGAAATTCCACTATGGGAACTGTTGGTCATGATAGTGAGATTATAGTCCCTTTTGCCAAAATGTATCCAAGTAGGATGCAAGACTGGTAGTTTTTCAAGTTTTCTGGGCGAAAGCAAAAAGGAAAGGAAAGCCAAGAGCTGGGAATCATTCAGTTTGGGTTAAATCTTTGCTGGTAGATGAAGCGGAGGAAATTTCTGGTTGTGCAAATGTAGGAAGGAAGGAAATAAGCTACAAGCTTACAGCCATAGTTTGTAATAACTACAAACTATAAGTAGTTTGAATGTTATTAAATGAGAGGAATGGTGTAATGCAGATGCACTGTAGTTATTGGAGCACCACCACCCAACTTTTCCTGGATTAGTTAGTATTTTATTATTTTTTCTGCTTTAACTGTACAGAAAGATTCTTCAACAATTACAGTTATGTAAATATGATTCACTATACTTGTTGCCATGCAATGGTTCCCATCCTTCCAAGTTATAATAATTTAAAGTGCTGGTTGGAATTATTATTTGTAAACATGTTGAAGTAGAACTGCAGCTTAAATGAGCTCAGAGAAATGCATCTCTTTATATGTATGTGAGTTCATTTGGTAAATTATCCATGTTACTTATCTGCAGTGTTCTGAGGCTGGCCCTTTGGATACTGAAATGTCTGAGTTTTATTCCACATCTCAGCTTTTGGATACCCATGAAGGTAGGTGGAATCAGGCAGCTCTGTGAGTGAGGAAACTCAATTATTCTGTTGGATATTTGGGCTTGAGAGGACTGTGGCTTTGACTGGGCCGTACTTTTGTCAGTGCTTTAGAGACAACACCAACCAGCCTCCTGCAAGTCAGTGTGTCACTTGCCCCTGTATGTGATGCCCAGTGATCACAAAGAAGTGCTTACCTTACTGTGTTTCTTCGAGTGGCCATCTGTGCATTCACACAACCCACCTCCTGTGCTACTTCAGTGTCAACACCAGCCAGAATCTTCTGCTAAGGGGCTGTTTGAAACTGATAGGGAATGTTGATATAAATGAACTCCTCTTGGTCTCGATAGGGAATGATCCCTGTGTTGGTATAATGAACTCTTCTTGGTCTGGGGCCACAATGGTAGTCTCTTGGAAATGAGGGAATATGCAGGAACTCTTGAAGGGCAAGTGCCCTTTGGTGAAGAGGGGTTCCTACCAAACTGCTCAAGTTCCTCAGCTCTGGAAACTTCCATGCAGGCTCAGAGCCCATGATGAAGAACCAGTTACAGGAAGCAGCCAGTCTCTTGCCAGCGTAGTGATGGATCGAGCAGTCCTACACCGGAAGCCTTCAAGGCTGGACCTGATTAGAAGATAGTTCCAGCAGGAGGGGAGGGATCAGTCATGGTACAACACTCAAAGGCCTCCTTTGACACGCCTTTCTGAGTTGCTTGTTGACACTGGTCATATTTTTTTTTCATCGTGTGGATGCGAAAATTCCTGTTAGTTAAGGTTGTTCCTTAGAGTGTTTGCTGTGCGATGTTCAAATTCATACCTATAAGCGCCCAGTTATACATTCTGAGGCATAGTTTACCAGCTGATAGTGTTTAAGTAACAAAATAAGCTGACTGGTCTCTCTTTTGATTCACACTTGCTGAATACAAAATGAATGTTCCTTTAAGCACCATGTGCTCTTCCTTACTGTAGCTGCTGAAAAGGTTCCTGGGAAACAGAGAAAGCGAAAGCAGCAGCAGCAGCAGCAGCAGCGGCGCACACTTGCTGTGGCTCCATATAAAAGAGAAAAAGGTGAAGATGTACTGAAAGAAACACCAAACTCTGAGGTAATGCTAGTCTTTAGATTTGTTAATTGTGTGAAATTATACATTTGCCTACTTTTCTTCTGAGAAACAAACTATGAATTAGTTGGCTGTATTGCCCAGGGGGAAAATTGTGTGCAAACCCTCTGATTACTTTTGCCCAAGAGTATTGTATCTCTTCATGCTACTAGCCTACTTTAAAGATTTCTTCAAGTTTGCTGTTCATTTTTAGGGATATTGTTGGGCCAGGTTCACTGATTAAATTAATTCTAGATTATAATGTACTAAATTTCACTGGACCAGTTACTTTGATACTAATTTGAACATTAATTAGAATGTTTGTCTATTTTTCAACTGAAGTGGAAATTTAACTGACATAGTTTAGACTTTATGTTTTTTTTTCTTTCCACAATCACTTGGGTGGTGCTTTTGGTATGTGATAGTTTTCTATTCTGTGGCGCTTTCATGAAACAGGACTGTAAGGGGGTGCGGGGTTAGGGCTTTTTGCAAACTCTTCCTAGAAAAAGGCAATAACAGGATTCAAGCAACATGATATCTCACACTCCAGGACTGAGTATGGAGTTATCATGTTATGTGAATCCAGCTGTTCTAACAAGCCTTGAAGAGAATCCATGGTTTGTGAACTGTGAGTTCACATCATGGTTTGTTATCTTGGCTGGGCTAAGGCAACAGAGTAACCTACATTTCAACAACAACCCATGTTTCAACCTATGCACAACCCTTCAGGGTGAATTATTACGTTGTCTGAACCCAGTCGATTTTCTGGAGCCTTCCTGGACCCATTGGTGGTTTGTGGGTAGAAGTGTGCTACTTTCCCTTTGCAAGTTTTTGCACCAACAGAATTATTCCATCCTGTCAATTGAGGTTTCCTGTTTGTTTTGTGGTCACATTGAAAACCCACCCTTTTCTCTCGATGAGGCATGACTTGTATAATCTGACCAGTTAAACATTTAATTGCCTCTTTTGAACATGCTTATTTATGGTAGATGTGTACTGTGTATAGATTCATATTCAGGAAGCTTGGGGTTGATTGTGGAAACCTCCAGTGTAGCAGTTTTAGTAAAGATACAGCAGTAAGACAGCAGGATATTGTTAATGTTTTATACTGAAGTTCAGAATGTTTCTTTTTCTCAGTGAAACCTTAAAGTGGAGCAGTGTGAGGAGAGTTAGCACCACAGCATGAGGCTTCTTCTGCAGGCAGAGTGATTAGGGCTAGAGGATTTACATGCAGCTCAGCAAGCAGGTTGGCGGAACATCTCTGTTTTGTAGTCAAAATAACATCAGCCCAGAGGAGTGAGTAAATTAAAGAGAGAATTTGACTGTCCAGAATTTCCATTTCCCCCTTTTAAAGGGAGAAAGGACTGCACATGGGACAGCTGGAAGCCCCAAGGAGACTACAGAGGAAGGATCTGAAAATGACCATGGAGTGCCTTCATCCAAACGGATGCAAGGGGAGCGAGGAGGAGGAGCCGCCCTGAAGGAGAATGTGTGTCAGGTAGAAACACGTTGCTTGATTTCTGGTCAGCGTGCCCTTGGCCTGGGGGACAGATGGGGTTTACAGGGGCCCGTATTCTCCAGCTCTTTGTAGTGCTTGCATGCAGCGCTGTTTTCACTTGTTTCGTTCTTGTGCCTTGAGACTTGAAAGCAGGGGCCCTCAAACATTTTCAACAGGGGGCCAGTTGAAAGGTGCTGGTGGTGGGCATGGGCTGGAAAGGCGGGGCCGGTGGTGGGCGTGGCCCAGTGAGGGGGCAGTGCGGCGCGTGGCCCTGAGGCGGAGGTGGGGCGCGTGGGCGTGGCGAGGCGGGGGCCGGGGGTGGGGGGCGAGGGCGGGGCAGGGCGGGCACTGGGGGAGGGGAGGGGAGGGGAGGGGAGGCGGGCGCGCGAGGCAGCGGCTTGCTCGCTTGGAGATCGTTGTCTTCGAGCGAGTCCAAAACGATCCCCATGCGAGCAAGCGTCCACCTCCCTGCACGCGGGTGCGGCGAGTCCAGCACCTATGAGGCGGGCCGGATAAATGGATCCGACCCATGGGCCGTAGTTTGAGGACCCATGTTTTAAAGAGTTGTAAGCTTTTACATGAATATTTTCCATCTGCAGTGCCTTTTATATCTGTCAGCTTGGTATAAACAGGACATATGTGAGAAAGTGTGTGCATGTGCACATGCATGTGAGCATGCACATATGGGAATTGCAATAGTGAGTTAAGTTGCACTTTTTAGGAGGGACTTGAATGGGAATTCTGAAATGGGACATATTACTGGACTGTTTTAGTTATTTGACTTCCTCAAAAGATAGCAATGTGCAAGATATTCTTGCTCTAAAGGGGGGTTTGGTATGTGTATGGGCAGGGATTTTATATTTTTCTTGTTTGGATCATTCTGTGATAATGCTCTGTATAATTTCCCCACAGATCTGTGAAAAGCCAGGCGAGTTGTTGTTGTGTGAAGCTCAGTGCTGTGGTGCATTTCACTTGCAATGCCTCGGGCTCTCAGAAATGCCAAAGGGCAAGTTTATCTGCACGGAGTGTTCCACAGGTACAGTACCTATGTGGGTAGACCAAGCCCACTAATAATGTGCTCTACTCTTATGCTGCTTTAAGGTGTTAACCTTGACAGTCTAGCTCTTGTGTGTTGCTGGTTTCTTCCATGGACGCTTTTCATTTGGTGCTTCTTAGGGCTCTTCTTCTTTCTGTAGTTTGAATGCTGTTTTCTTCTGTTTTGCTGCCCTCTCCTTTAGGGGTCCACACATGTTTCGTATGTAAGAGCAGTGGAGAAAATGTGAAGCGTTGCTTGCTTCCTTTGTGTGGAAAGTACTATCATGAAGAGTGTATACAGAAGTACCCTCCCACAGTCATGCAGAACAAGGGCTTTCGATGCTCACTGCACATATGTATGACTTGCCATGCAGCTAACCCAGCGAATGTATCTGCGTCCAAAGGTAGTGTAACAAGAATGCGTAAAAGGTGCCTTTCTATATTCAGTTCAACTGTTCTTTGGGACTTTTTCTCTTCTTGGATATTTGAAAGTTGGAGTTTATTTCCCCTACCCCCACCTTGAAAGAAAGAACCTTGACTTTTATTTAATTTTTTTTTTTTAAAAAGGGAGAATGTAATACTGTTTCATTGCATGCTAGGTCGCTTGATGCGTTGTGTTCGATGCCCGGTTGCATACCACTCAAATGATTTCTGCCTCGCTGCTGGGACAGTGATCCTTGCTTCCAACAGCATGATCTGCCCCAATCATTTTACCCCACGAAGAGGCTGCAGAAACCACGAGCATGTAAATGTCAGCTGGTGCTTTGTCTGTTCAGAAGGTACTGTATTCTTTTGCATTGTGTTTGTTGGTCTGGATGAGCATTGGAAGAAGTTATGGGGAGGGGTAGGTGGCTAGAATTTGTAATAAAGAAAGTACTCAGAAAAATGACAGCAAAGCTATCTTTGTCTCTATCCACCCCCACAAGCTGTTACAAGTAAACCTTAATTGTTATTATGCTGAGCAGCTCTGGGCTGCCAGGCTAAATCAGAATATTTATTTACTTACCACTTTGTTACCCTGTTGTTCCTCCATAGAACTTCAGACACCACATTATATTATATTATATTAATTTATTAAATTTCTAGCCCATCCCATTAGCCACATGGGTCCCTGGTCATCTTCTCTCCCACCACTTTTTGTCATCACAATCACCCATGAAAGTGACTTAGGGTGAAAGATGGGGACTGACCTGAAGGCTACCATTAAGCTTTGTGTCACAGCAGGAATTTAAATTCTTACTCTGGTCCAAATCCAGCAGTCTTAAATACTATACACAGCGACTTTCATTAGTTCAAACTGATTTCCAAGTAGCCCAAGGTCCTAGAGGCCTGATATACCCTTAAGAGTGAAAAACATTTGGATAATGTTAATATACTGAAAAAGAGGGGATGATAGTTCTTGTTTTACATTCTCCTGTACAACAACTCCCAACATGCCAGCTGATTGAAAAAATAGAAAAATCATAAGACAAATATTGCCAGTTTGGAGTGAGGTAAATGTCCTAGCCTGTAGGAGCTTCTGTCTTCAAATAAATAATATCTGTCTTCAAACACAGATATATTAAATTGCCTTAAATACTTTGAAGGCCTTTAAAATAAAGCTCTGGAGGCAAAATTACTTTATGCTGAAAATTGGTATGACATGATTTGACCCACTTCTCATCCTGAGATTTGATCTCAATTTGAGCTTCGGGTAAGGGAAAATCCCTCGCTGATGTTGCTGCACCTGAAACATCTGTTTTCCTTCTCACAGGGGGTAGCCTTTTGTGCTGTGAATCTTGCCCTGCTGCATTCCACCGGGAGTGCCTGAACATTGACATGCCAGAAGGGAGTTGGTACTGTAATGACTGCAAAGCTGGCAAAAAACCACACTACAAGGAGGTGGTCTGGGTGAAGGTGGGCCGTTACAGGTGGGTAAAGGGATGATGGAAACTAGAGTTACAAGCTTGGAAGATTGAATTACTGCATATGAGTCTGAATTGTTTGCTTCCCCACACTATAATCTCTACTTGTCTTCGTGTTTGGAAGCCTCCTTTTGGAGGGCCAGTTTGTGTGTGTTTGGCTTGCTTGAATGATACGGATTTGGACTTTTGTCAAGTTCCAGAACTTCTAGAAGTTTTTAATCTTAATAATGAACAGGCTTACCATCCATCCCAGGGAGTGAGAGCTAGTTCTTTCATATATCAATTAAATAATACCTTCTTCATGCAGCTAGGCAGAAAATGGAGCCCCACTGGGGCCAGAAAATGATAAAACCATGCTTTTCGCAGATTTCATAAAAGAAATCTCCAGTCAGAGAAAGAAACTCTGAAAACCTTGATGTATATATAGTAACCTGAAATTTCATGCCATATTTGCAGTGGAACTCCAGGATGAACTGAAGAAGTTTCGATCCTTAGAAGCTGCAGAATCTTTCCTAACTGGGGATTTGAGGGAATTCCTACCTATCTTGCTCAGATCTTACAGCTTCTGCTGCAGCCTATGTTTAATTTTACTCCCCACTTTTCAGAAGTTGGTTAGAAAGCTCCAGATCATGTTTATATAGGTTGAGAAGATGAAATTCTGGGCATATTGCCATTGTCGTCCTCCTGCCATGTTTTGGCTTTTATTTTCTGTCTCTAAATCCTCCTTCCCCTTGCTTAGTTAGATAGTGTTAAAGTTAATTAATATTGATCTAATTGATGATTTGAGTATAGAGGCAGAGCATGACAATCCACAAGAAGATATTACAACTGGACTGGGTGCTATTCCTTAAAAGTTGGCAGGGGCTAATAATCTTAGATTGGTTGTGCATCAGATTGCATTAAATAAGGATAGAACAGACACAGCTACCATTATCTCTGTATGCAGAGAAGGCCTTTGATAAAATTTATTGGAAATTTATCTTTGCCACATTGAGAAATGTTGGTTTTCTTTCAGAATTTCAACAATAGGTTAAAATGTTATATGAAACTCCTAGAACAAGATTGAGGGTCAAAGGAATTTTGTCTGAGTTTTTTCCCCCTAACTTAAAAGAGATACCATACAAGAATGACTATTTTCCCAAGAATTATCGATGTACGATTGGAACTTTTGGCCCTTGTGTTATTCAAATTCCTGATATTAATGGATGTCTGCATAATGCATTATGACATAAACTTATTCTCTATACTGATGCTATTTTCTTGTTTATTTCAGAACTCCATTAATCTATTCTGCCTTTGATGCAGATGATTAATTATTCTGGCATTTATCTAGTTATTCCATTAACTGGTCAAAGTGGGATATACCCCATACTGTGTTATCTAATAAGCTTTGCAGACTTTGTGCTGAGTTTATTACTTATCTGGGAATACTTGTCCCAAGAAGGATATCACAAATAAGTTACATTTGAATGTTGATTAATGAGGTCTCGAGGGAATTGACAGATGGGCATTTATTTATAAAGTCTGTGGGTTAGGTAAGTCCACTTAAAATTAATGTAATACCTCAAAATGTTTTGGTTTTACATAGTATTCATTTATATCTGGAAAATATTTCCAAAACTTAATATTTTGTTTCATAGGTTCCACTCCACAGTGAATATCCTTAAAATGGATACAGTTTTTGGATTTGCACTTCCTGACCTTTTCTTAAACTATTTATTGACTTGCATTAGGTTTAGGTCTTTTCTACTTAGGTTAGATTCCTCTCCATGGTCACTTTTGAAATTTTCATTTCTGAATTCTCAAGTGCATTACATTGGACTTTCATCATACCAAAATAGATAATGTGCCCTCTCCAGATGTGAAGGCTAGAGAATGGTGGCCTATATTTTCACATGCAAAATTAATTGGTGGTCTTGGACTGGCAGGCTGATTTTTACTTTGGATAAACTTGTTAGATCTGGCCATAATTTTCTGCCATGTTTTGCTTTATCTGCTAAATATAAATTGCCAGTCATGGATGCATGACAATGTTTGCAGCTGAAACATTTGTTTGATTCTGGGTTTGGCCCTGCTCCTTTTATAGCTTCACAGTTACTTGTGTTATTGGTTGTAATGGCTGAAGCTGTACAGCTGCGTCAGCCTACAATTCATGTCTATAAATATCAAGTATCGGTGAACAAATAGAATATACTGGGCCTTAACCAGGAATGGAATAATGAATTAAGGTACTCTATCTTGCCTATTTATTTCACCAAGGATTCTGGATCTTAAGCTATGCTTACTTCAACAAAAATTGATGTTTTAAGTCTACTTGACACTACATTAACCCTTTGATAAGGGCTTAATTAAATCAGCCAATTGTTGGAGGTGGAATGCTGCTAATGCTTCTTTTCTTCATATGCTTTGGCAACATCCAATGGCAGTTTCCCTTTGGGAGGAGGTAATAATTCAGATGAATCTTCTGTCTTGTGATGGCAACATCTTTAATATTCAGGGATACACTTGTTCTTTTGAATTACAACCCATCTCTTGGGATTTAATACAAGATCAATGTAAATGGATTTTCTGCATTCTTTGGACACCTAAAAATAATATTACAACATTGGAAGGATAAATGGTCATCTGCAATGGATGGAGGATTTAATGAAACTTTCAATTTTTGAATGAGAGGGCTTTAGACCTAATCCACTATTGAATAAATATGTTGATATTTGGGGCACCTTCATTGAAGTGTATACATACATGTTTTTAATAACTATGTTCTGTTCTGTTATGTACTAATATACAGGGATATATATCTAGTGTTGTGAATCTTTTTAAATTTTCTTCAAAAATTGTTATGTTTTAGTTTTGTTCTCCCAACTCCCCTTTCTTCTTTAATGGTGCAGTTTGGTTGTTTCTGAATTACACAATAAAAAAAATAAAACAGGTAAGTGAAGGGAAGCACATTCTGTTACATTTACAAGACTATTTCATGGTTCAGTCATCGTCCCCTGTGAAAGCTTGTGCCTGCTCATTTCTGCTTATTGTAATATCCTTTTGTAATTACAAGGCAGTAAATACTAAAAAGACATATTCCCTTTTACATGTGTGCTTGCTGTAATGCTAGAGAAACTTGTTTTTCAAGATGCTGCTGGAGAGTACCTCCCTTCAGCCTCAATCAATATGATCAATGATCATGGATTATGGAGTTGTAGTCCAGAAATATTTAGAAGGCCATGGGTTCTTCGGTATGGTCTCTGTGTGCTTGTGCAGAGTTTCCTTCAGAATCTTCTAGAGCTGAGACTTCTAGGCAGGAAGCCCACCCTGCCCCAGGGATGGTACCCCAGCCTTTCTCCTCAGTTTCTCTTTGATCACTGCAGGAACAGTTTGCATCAACTAAGGGTGCAATCCTAAGCCATATTGGGTGGATTATGCTTGGAGCTGTAGAACTTCTTTCTGTTAAAACGTGTAGGTTTACACCTTAAATCACTTATCATCTGGTGGTTGGACTGGGGCTATTCTACCAGTATTGGCTTTTTCTTCTTTTCTGTTCTCCCTTCTCACCACATTTTAGCAATTTTTTCTCGTAGGATATTTCCACCTCCGTAGCTCTTCTTCTGAGCAGCCTATGGCCCATTGTATAAATGTGCAGTTTGTGGGAGTAAACTACCACCATCAGATAGCCACAGTCTCTGCCTTTTCTGTTTGAGTCAGTGGCATGTGAGAGTCAAGTACATATTTCCAAGAATTTACTTCCCACCTTCATGCAGTCTGGATCAAACCCAATACAAGCTTGTTCTCAGTCAACTTTCAGAAAAACTCTTGCATTGTCATTGGCCTTGGTACCATCCTTGCTGGCCCATTCTGGCAGATAGAACCATTGAGTCAACAGTGGTATGATGCTTCTGTTCCATCAGACATTACTTCACTCACCCCACTGTTACTCTTGTTTTCACTCATCCTTCTCTTATGTATTTATAGCACCCAGTAGCCAAAAGTCTCCTGCAAAACCCCTTTGGTATCTACTATGAACTCAGTCCATATTGTGCTTCTACATCAAAAAAGGAGAGACTCTGAATGCTACAAAATGTGGTTTCTCACCATGTTTCGGAAGGCAGCACAGCACTGCCAGTATTTGATACATAAACAGTGGTGGCATCCAGTCATAACCTTTACTGTGCCTCAGTCTGAACCTCTGGGACTGTGCAGATCTTCTAACATTAGTTTGCTTGCTATCCAGGGAAGGAAAACACTTTGACTGATGCTTTAACTCAGTCCAAGCAGATGTGCAGGTTTTAGACCAGAAAGTCATGGACAATGTTTTTGACTGTGGTGGAATGCCATGGATCTGTTTCTTAGCTGCTAGTGAGAATGCTTTTGCAGCAGAGTAGATTTTGATCAATCTTCCTTGGAAGATGTATTCTTCTATAGATGGGACACACATTTTGTATGTAGTTTCCCTCTAAATCCACTGTTTACAAGGGTTTTGTCCAAGATTTGGTGAGCTGTCATTTTGATTACCCCATACTGGTTTAGGGAGATGCAATTTACCACCCTGATGTCTCTCTGTTAAGGGGAGACAGAGTCATACTGCCCAACTCACCATTTCTCCTATCCCAGCAGAATGGCTCTGTTGGATCTTATGTCCTCACACATCCTGATGGACATTGGTCAAGTCCTAGATGCAGCCAGAGAGCTCATTACTCGGCTGTTGCATGCTGTAAAGGAACAAGCAGTCCTGTGATATACAAGTTCCATTCCTGTTCCCCAGTTTCTCTTGAAATTGTGAGAAAGGCCATGCCATTGCTGTGATTCTATTTAATGGCCACATCCACTGTCAGATTCAAGGATTTATCATTTTATCCAGTTACAAAGAAATTCAAGCAATTTATGAATCTCTATGCATGTCTAAGCCTCTTCTTACCTAGATTCTGTCCATCATTTTGATCTCTCTAATGTTCAAGTCATTTGAACTTCTTAATACATCTCAAGCAGGTGAAGTAGCTGCTCTCCATTCCAACCTTCCATTTACTGTTTTCCACAGAAACAGGACAGTGCTCAGATGGGATCCAGCTGTTCTACTGAAGATGGTTTCCCCTTTTCCTATCAGCTAGGACATTATTTTTCCTGTGTTTTTTCTGAATTTAACTACAGCTTTCAGTTGTTTCTTCAGTCTTGAGAGGAAGGGTCCTTGCCTTCTGCCTGTGCCAGATGGCTTCCTTCCCCCAGACTGATTACCTGTTATGGGAAAATATAAGGGTTCCTCAGTAAAATTGAACTGCTTAGCTCTCTGACACAATTAAACCTTGCTATTCCTTGACTTTGCTTCTGGTACCACATTTGATAGAGGCTTACTTCATCTGGGCTGTTGCCTCTTGAGCTGCATTTTCTGGAGGTGCTTCTCTTGGAGAACTGTGGACCAGCCTTGCCGTGCTAAACACTACGGCCTCCTTGAGTGAGCAGTGTCTTCCTCTATACTGCTCCTGCTCTCTCCTCCTTTTGACAAGTCAATTTGTTAATCATCGTATGCATAGTACACAGAGACCATGAAGGGGGAGGACAGGTTGTAATCATCAAGTGGTCTTCTTTGCTTTTACACAACCTATTTGCACTTCTGTTCTCCTACAAGTGTTCTGGTGTGTACTCCATTATCCTCTCAGTTTGGGGATGCTTCTGTAGGCAGAGCCACAAGCAACTGTGGAAGGGAATTGGGATAGACTTCCTGCCTAAAACACTCAGCTCTAGAAGTTTGTGATGGGAGCTCTGCACAAGCACCAAACCTATATGTAGGACTGGCTGCACAGATGACCCACCACCTGAAGTTACAGGCAAGCATCCTGCCCTTCCCTACCCTTGGCTTACCTGCATGGCCGCTGCTTCTCCTGCAGTTGTTTCCACACTGGTAAGAGAACATCTTGTGCTATTATGTTGTGGTTAGGTTCGCAACTATATTTGTGATGTCAGTCCAGGAAACAGATATTCTGGAATTTTTCCTTGGGTTAATTTGGTTTTCCTGGATTTCTTTATTACAAGGTGGTGGCCAGCTGAGATTTGCCACCCTAGGACCATTCCAGTCAACATCCAGAAGATGAAGCATGTCATTGGTGAATTTCCTGTGCTTTTTTTTGGATCAAATGATTACCTTTGGACCCACCAGGCTCGAGTCTTTCCATATATGGAAGGAGATGTGAGCAGCAAGGACAAGATGGCAAAGGGAGTTGATGGCATTTACAAGAAGGGTAACATATTTTTTGGTTTTGTTCCAAGGAAATGCTTAGTAACAAAAGCTAATGATCTTTACCATGTACTTCTGTGGTCTCAAGACAGTATTTTTAAGGTTTATACTTCATAACTAGGCCTGACTACAGTTCTGTAATCTAAGTTGCTTGAACATTTTCATTGGTTTTAATTTGGAGCATGATTTTTTTTTAAAAAGTCCCTTCCTTTTACAACTCAAGAAAATCAAATAATAACCAAATCACAAGGTATTAGAAGAAAAGTGGTTTAGTTCCAACATCACATCAAGTTATGACTAAGGAAACTTAACTATGATTTGGCTAAACCATAACCTACCATTGGTTATACAGCTGATAAATGGAAATATATCTGCAGTAAATAGAAAAACCTTAGTTACCACTACTTTTCTGCATCTTGAGACCACTGAACTGGAGTGTCAAGCCAGTAAATAACTCTAAACCATGTTGTTTACTCACAGTCTGTTGGAAAGCTCAAACTATGTCTGAACTGAGTCAAAGCATTATTTTTAAATCTTTCATTTGTGTAAAAATTCAAGAGTTGAGTAAATTGTCCTGGATGGGGATTGATGTCTGACTCTTCTGGAGTTGTAAAGATTAAAAAAAAAGTTTTCAAGTTGTTAACATTGCACAGAACAACTGCCTTTGCATTTTGCAGTCTTGGAATAAAGATATGTTAGATCAGAGGTGGAAATCTCAGTACTGTTTGCACTTTTGTTACAAACCTAGAAAATCCTAGCAATTCAGTCAGTCTGATGTGACAAGTTCAAAATGTCTGATATGACAAACATTCCACAATAATGATCATGGAATTTTTCTTATAGACCAGCACAGTATACTTTGTTTTATGTGTAACCTTATTGTGCAGCAGCTGGAGGATTAATCATGTGGGTCAATGTTCTTTTGAATCTTCTGGAAATGAGGCCACCAGAGTAGCTCTTACATTTATTGCTTTCTCTCAGAGGCATGGATTTGGTTATTGCTGTTTGTCACAGATGATACACTGCAGTTTTTGTGTTTTCATTCAACCTGTATTGGCTTGCTTGTATCACTAACAGAACACATATCATTTACCTTATTCTTGTCCATGGTCAGTGCTGGGAAGATTAATTTGGCAAGGGTAGAAAGCTGACATTTTTACACGACTTAGGATTTGCCCCCTTCTTGTGGCTGCTGCACAGATAAAGTGCAGTTCTAATACAATGCAAAAGTTGGTCAACAACACAGAAATTGCTAGAAAAGGGTATATGAATGACTGAATACTTGTTCAACTATAACATTAAAGTTTCCTTTACTTAGCCTTGCAGGAAGCTGCTGTGAGATTTGAAGAGTTAAAGGCACAGAAGGAACTGAGGCAGCTGCAGGAAGACAAAAAGAATGATAAGAAGCCCCCTCCTTACAAACATATCAAGGTGAGAATGCAGGAGATGAAAGTCAGTGTTCCCAAGCCCTTGCACTGGGTGGACTGAGCAGGCTGCAGGATCTTGCACTTACCCTCCCAGTCTTCAGCATGGATAAAGCCCTAGTCTGAATGAATGATGGCCTGTCCTTGGTTATACCCTCCTCTTGCCCATCTTTGGCTTGTACCTCATCACTAAACGGGGTGAAGTTTCACAGTGTACCCCCCATACAGTCTGTCCAGTGTGATACCTTACCCTACCTAAAGTGATGCTGAATGAACCACATAGCTGGATTCCCAAATTGTGTGGATTTTATTCCTCCAGAGTAGATGATGAAGGTCAGCTATTGGCTACATTCAATTCAGATTTGTGCTGACCCAGAGGAAATCCATGATGTTTATTATACACTGTATAAAATTCCACAGGGAGACACCTGTTTCAATGAAGGTACAAGTTATTTCTGGAGGTTGTCTACACCATCCCTGTGAGAACCCACCTTAACCTTTTGAGACCTGTTACAATAGTTGATATTTGAAGTGGCGGATGAATTTTCTGTGCTTAACTTCATATTAGTTGAGTTCTATCTGAAGCTCTCTGTCATCAAGGGTAGTGTTTGTGGTATGCATGAAAGTACAATACTGGCCAGTTTCAGTGTGGTTTCCTAATCTTTTGAGGCACCAGAGATTGATTTTGATCTCTGTACACATAAGATGGATTTCAGCATAAGCCAGAGAAGCCCATTTCACAGTTGAGCTTAGTTACGCCAACCAATTTGCTTGCCATTGTCTGTCTGTGTTTATAGGTAAACCGTCCCATTGGCAAAGTGCAGATCTACACTGCAGATCTATCTGAGATACCACGATGCAACTGCAAGCCTGCAGATGAAAATCCCTGTGGCCTAGACTCTGAGTGTATTAATCGTATGCTGTTATATGAGTGTCATCCTGCAGTCTGCCCAGCTGGGGAGCGCTGCCAAAACCAGTGTTTCACCAAGAGGCAGTATCCTGAAGTAGAAATTTTCCGCACTCTAGCACGAGGCTGGGGCTTGCAAGCCAAAAGAGACATTAAGAAGGTATCTTTTGTTTTGCTATTTTATTTCCCTCCCACAATTTAGTTTTTACACTCGGCATTCTATACTTCCATAAGTGAAATTTGTTATCATTATAGCATCTGATATATAAAGAAAATAAATGAATTAGATTTTCTTCTGATATATATGCCTACATATCTGATAAGATTTTTGTTTCTCCTGGATTAATAAGCTTTCTTAGTTCATATAAATTTTTAATTCTGTGATAATGACACCATGGAATGACCTAAACTAGAACTAATAAAAACCAGTATATGCTAAACTTATCAAAGATGGCTAGCATTTGGTCGCAATTCTCATTTACTTTGCCTTCATCCCAAATTTTTATTGTCCAATTTTCTTCACACAAATTCTGCATTTTGAGCAGCAGTGTAAAAGTACTGCTGATTACACTATTTCTAACCTTTATGTGTTCTTATACCCAAGCTGTCACAGATTATTTACTCAAAGGTCCATGAAATACCTTCTAAGCAAGAGGATCTTAGTGTGTTTCGACTGGATGGATTATTAAGCAAAAATTTCTTCAAGAAATTGCCTTCTCCAGTTTTTACTGTACAAATCCAATACCACAGATGATTTAATAGGCAGGGGTGTTTTTTTGTTTTGTTTTGTTTTTGTTTTTGTTTTTGTTTTTTTTAGCAGAGGGAGTTCCAAAGAAATGGGGCCAGCTCTGAATGATGCTGTCCATGGTCTTGCCAAACTGATCTTAGAACATAATCCATTGTGGCTGTCCAGAACGCTCTGGACTTGAAAGATTACAGGCATCCAGTGAGAAGTGAGAAGAACATGGAGACTAGAATTGCCACTGCACTTTTATCACCCTCCAAAACACGTTGATGGCCATTTTTGGCCTTCTAAATGTTTCCCCCCATGGCATGAGGAGGAGAAACTGAGGCACTGCTAGGATAATTTGGTGGACAGTGGTGCCTCACTCCTTCCCTCCCAGCCCATCACCCAGAACACTCCCCCCTCCCCCAAAACACTCACACACAGAATGCCTCTGAAGACGGCCTTCCTTTCCATCCAGCACAGGAAGATCCATGCCAGCTGCAAGCCGGGGGGCTTCTACCTCTTGTCTTATGCTGCTGCCCCAAGCAATTTCTGGAGGCTACAAGATTGTACCCTTAATGGTGGCCTGAAAGGCATGGTATCTGAGGCTGATCTTGGGGCCCAAGTAGGCTCATAAGTGTGCAGGAGGATATAAGTCAATGTGAATGGTAGAGTATGAAAGCATATAAATAGGAAACTCTTCAAATAACCACTGGTCCAGTCTGAAAGTGTCCCATGTGTGACCATAGGCATGTTGCTGTGAAATTTTTTAAGGAATATGCTTGTGAACATGAAATACAGGTGTTGCCTCCTTGGAATGTCTCTCGAATGAACACTTAAAAGTTTGGCATTTATGAAAAGAATGCATACAAGTTAGATCATGCAGTGTTTGTCATTTGTTGGGATCGATACCTCTTTTTCAAACTGTTTGATGATCTGGGTTATTCTCAGCTTTGAGTTTGGAGTAAAAGTAGTTGTTGTTTTCATCTCTTTCCATCCTCACATATTTAGGGTGAGTTTGTGAATGAATACGTGGGAGAACTAATAGATGAGGAGGAGTGTCGGGCCAGAATCCGCTATGCTCAAGAGCATGATATAACCAACTTTTACATGCTGACTTTGGACAAGGTATGTGGACTGTATTCTGTTTCTTGTGAGGCTAAATGTGGCTAATTTTCAGTGTTTGGACACTGAAAAGCAGGTGCCTAAAATATAAATGCTTCGTCTTATTTTGGTAACTGCTAACTGGGATATTGGTCCTTTTAGCATTGGTTTCAGAAAACAGCTGCTGCTCATGTTTATGTGACATACTGTTTTGCACAATAAAGAAGAAAGGTAGGCCAAATGCAGGGTCCAAGTCTGTGTCAAAGTTAAGTGCAGGCAAGCAGCCCAGATCAAGCACACACCAGCGGGGTCTTCTGTGGAGCCCAAGAGACAGTAGGATGAGAAAAAGTAGAAGTAAGGTCGGGCAAGGCACTGGGGGTTGAAATGAGGTGTTGTTCCTGCAACCAGCGGGTCTCACACTTTATAGGTAAATTTCCAAACACACCACCTTGCTGTTAGTTCTGATTCCAAATCCTCCTCTCTCCAAAAAGACCCATGCTCTAGTAGTTCTTTATTCTCCAAGAATCTAGATGCTGTGAATCTTGGGGCACGTGCCTTGCTTCCAAGCAGTGGCTTGTGCCACCACCTTCTGAAACCAGCATAATCTAGTATTGTGGAAATGCTTGGCTTCTTTCTCTGACTCTAAAGACGAGGTGAAGTAGAGCCCATTGAGAGGCCCATCTGGACTCCCTCTCAGCACTCCATCCCAGAAGGGCCAAAGGTGGCCTTTTCACAGCTGCTGGGGGTGACTAGAGTCAGAGGGTCAGGTGTGCTCACTTCAGATACTATATTGGGCTTGTTGCAGCTGAAGAAATGTTCCAACTATGTTTTTAAGAGGCTGAGTTCTTTCCTATGATTTAGGATCGAATAATTGATGCTGGACCAAAGGGTAATTATGCTCGCTTTATGAACCATTGCTGCCAGCCAAACTGCGAGACGCAGAAGTGGTCGGTGAATGGAGATACTCGGGTTGGGCTTTTTGCCCTGACAAATATCAAAGCGGGTGAGTAACCCACCATGGCTAGAAGTTTCTTTCTAAATGGGGGGATGTCTCTAGAAATATACAGTATATAGCCTGAATATACACATGACCTTCTCTGATTTTTCTGATTACCAGGGACTGAACTAACGTTCAACTACAATTTGGAGTGTTTGGGGAATGGGAAGACAGTTTGCAAATGTGGTGCCCCAAACTGCAGTGGCTTCCTTGGAGTGCGACCGAAGGTACAACAGCTGGTCTTTGGCATTCTTTTCCCATCAGCACTTGCAAGTTGCATCGGCCTTGCTGGTTACTTCCTGTATGGAAATCCTGTCCACTCCAATGTGGCTTTCTTCCACAGGATACTATTCAGTGTACAGTTTGTGCTTCTGCTGCTAAAAGTAACAACCCTGTAAAGCCATTGCCCAGGCTGCATTTTTAATCCAGTTGAAAATACAAAAACTGGAACAAAGGCAGCTCTAAGAGAAATGTTTCTTTAAATGCCTCTCTGTCATACCCACAGTCCTGAAGTATGTGGGTACTTGGATACTCACTTGCAGTATCTCCTTGGGCTCACACACATAAGCACATCTCAGAACAATGAGGCCTTGTTTACACTGTTGTTGTTGCTAGTTGCAAAGTCGTGTCCAACCCATCGCGACCCCATGGACAACATTCCTCCAGGCCTTCCTGTCCTCCAGCATCCCCCGGAGTCCACTCAAGCTCACGAGGATGGCTTCAGTGACTCCATCTAGCCACCTCATTCTCTGCTGACCCCTTGTTCACACTAGGAAAATTCATTCTTGGACTACCCAGGATTGGATTGTTTGCTCCCTCTGAAGAATTATGAATGTGACTGTAACAGTTTTCCTCATGGTACTTCATTAGATCAGCTAAAGAAGTAGGATATAAAGAGATGTGAGGACAGGCAATAGGTCTCTTTGAACAATGGCTTACTGGAATTGTTCTTTCTCTAGAACCAGCCACCTACCACTGAAGATAAATCCAAGAAATTCAAGAAGCGTCATGGGAAGCGCAAGTCACAGGCAGAAATCATGAAGGAGCGGGAGGATGAATGTTTCAGCTGTGGAGATGGTGGTCAGCTGGTTTCCTGTAAGAGACCAGGCTGTCCCAAAGTGTACCATGCTGACTGTCTCAATCTGACCAGGCGACCTGCAGGTCAGTGGCTTAACCGCCCTTGGTGTAGCAGTCTGTCCTTGCTTTAGAGGTCTGGGAGATGGACGTTTGCCTAGCTAGCAGGACTTTCAGGAGCTGGGGACAGCTTACATCATGCATACCTGGAGAGGACAAAGCACCAAATCAGTTAATGAACCCAAAATTGGTTGCTGTTTTAAAATGGAACAAAAATATTACATCACATTCACATTATGTGTTTACTAGCTATTTTTTCTCTCCTTGTAGTTTTTGCCAAATATTAAGATCTAGGGTAGTCTTCTAAAAATATAGTCCCCCCCCCCCGTCACAAACAATGCTGGTACCAAGAAATTGTTGCATGAATAAAAACAGGGACTCATGTCCTTTGGCATACATTTTTCATGTTATCTACATTGAAAGGTTTGCAACATGTGTTTTTTTTTTTAATGACACAAATTGCACAATGGCATGCCACTTCCCATCCATCTGAAAGATGTACTTCAGGATTCCTCTCTTAAGTGGCTGTTTGGCTATGAATTGCCTGTGCTGTGTGGGCATGGACTTTATGATTGTAGAGATGGAGCACTGTATGTCATTACTAAGCCATGCTCAGTTCCCCTTTAGGCCCAACCATTCTAGCACTCCCCCAGACCTTCCTCCCCTTCCAGGAGAGGTTCATAGCATGACAACAAGGAAGATGTCCACTTCCCAAAAAAAAAAAAAAAAAATTCCCTTTTTTTTTTTTTTTTTTTTTCTTTTTTTTTTTTTTTTTTGTGCCAGGCTAAGATTTTATTCCCAGGCATTTGTCTGCATATGAAGAAGCTTTCATATTTTAATATTGTGGTTTTATCTCATCTTAGTATTACATTTTCATATGTTTTAATTCCTGTTGGAAGATGCCTTGGGCCTTTTTCTGAGACAAGCAGTGTAATACATCCAATAATTAATGGGAATGACTAATGGCACAGAAGTTGTTCCTCAGGCTGAGTGCCCACACACCAGATGCCTCCATCCTGTGAGATGTGTCTACAGTGCTTGTTTCTAGAGTCCCTCCTTCCCATTGTCTAAGGCCCTGCTCATTTGATTTGTTCCTTCTGCCTTCTTGGGCATCTTTGCATTTTCCATAAGCATGTAGTATCTTGCAGAAGTATTCACACACTCCCTTTGACTTTTCCAGTTTGTTGTATTACAACCTGGAAATGGGATCATGTAGCACTGACATTGTGCACAAGTGGATTCATTCATCTATTTATAGTACTGTTTGTGACTTCTGGAGGCTGAAGCTTATGAGACAGATCTCAGCAAGTGAATACTTATGCAGCCAACAAGTGCCAATTTGTTTTTGTTTACTTTCCTGCCACAGTAAAAATACGTTGCACCATCACAAGGCTGAGTACCTTGTATACATCAAGCGGTAATGATGTCAGTTGAATCTATTTTAACACCAGGTTAATTTAACAAAATACTTCTTCAAGGAACTGTACAATCATACAAGCATTTGCTGGTATGATAACGCCATTCAATATTTTCAGCCCTCCTTGTCAAGCTCTTAGCAGAACAATGTTAGCTGTAGAGCCAAAACTATATTTTTAAAAAGTTTGCTTTCTTGTTTAGAAAACTATAAAAACTTTGAATTGGCAATTTGATCATTTTAACAGAAATATGTTGCAATGCAGTTTTTAGAACTGAGCCAGTATTGTGTAATTGTACAATAGCAGCCAGATGTCCCATCAACTCAAGCTGAATTAGCTGATAGAGTCTTTGCCCAGCTTCTGTCAGTCTGGGCTTACTTGCTTCTCAATTTCAGTAGCTTGCTTCCCTGTCAAGAGAGTTCTCCTGTTCATCCTGTCTCAATTGTTCCTTTTTCCGTACTGCAGGGAAATGGGAGTGTCCTTGGCATCAGTGTGATGTGTGCAACAAAGAAGCGGCTTCCTTCTGTGAGATGTGTCCCAAGTCTTTTTGCAAGCAGCATCGAGAAGGCATGCTGTTCATCTCCAAATTGGATGGGCGCCTGTCATGCACAGAACATGACCCTTGTGGACCACACCCTCTAGAGCCAGGAGAGATTCGTGAGTATGCGCCTCCCACAGAATCAGCAGCTGGCTGCCAAAACACTCAGCCAGCAGACCAGCAGCCGGCAGCTCCGGGCCCGAAATCTCAGCCACCAGAGAGGCTGCCTCTGACTGTGGCCCTGAGGCTGCAATCCTCAGATAAACCTCCTTCCTCTTCACTGGCTCTGAGGCTAAAGCCCTCAGACAAGCCACCTGCCTCTGTCGCACTGAAGCTGCAGTCCTCAGATAAATCACCCTCCACAGTGGCTCTGAGGCTACAACCGTCAGACAAACTAGCCTCCACCCTAGCCCTGAGTTTAAAACCCTCAGACAAATTGCCCTCCACCCTGTCCCTGAGGTTAAAGCCCTCAGATAAATTATCCTCAGCCCTTGCCCTTCGGTTGCAGTCGTCAGACAAGCCACTGTCCGCTGTGGCTCTTAGGCTACATCCCTCAGAAAAGTCTCCCTCCACTGTGGCCCTGAGGTTACAGCCCTCTGAGAAATTAGTCTCCACTCTTGCCCAGAAGTTGCAGCCCTCAGAAAAGCGGTCCTCTACTGTAGCCCCTGAGCTGCAGCCCTCAGAAAAGCCACCCACTGCAGAGGCATTAGGACCTCAGGACAAGCTGCCAGCCACAGAGGCATCAGGACTTCAAACAACAGACAAAAATGCTGCTGTGAAATTGCCAGAGCCTGAGAGGTCGGACCCATCATCTTCTGCGAACACATCCAAGTCTCAGGTGTTAGATGAGCCACCTGCCGCAGAGACACCAAAGCTCCAGGTGTTGGGCAAGCTGGCAGAGCTTGAGTCTCTGAGGCCTCAGCCACTGGATAGGGCCATTTCTGCCGGCCCACTGCTTCAGCCCTCAGGCAAGTCTGCTGCTTCACTGAGTGTCAGACCTCAGCCGTTGGTCAGGCCAGTCACCCCCATAGCGTTGAGGTCCAAACCATCAGAAAAGCCGCTTGCTTCCATGGGCTCACGGCCTCAGACACCGAATAGGCTTTCTAGCCCAGTGGATGCTCGGCCTGTGCCGTCAGACAAGCCTTCTACCACCACAGGCCTGAGGCCTCAACTGTCAGACCGGCTTCCCACTCCACTGAATCCAAGGCCTTTGCTTTCAGAGAAAGCCCTGAGGCCTGTTGACCAGAACGCTCAGCCAAAAGAAAGAGGTTCTGTGACTACAGAGCAGAATTCTCAGCAGAAAGAACGGACATCAGTGTCTGATGAGCAGTCTTGTAGATCTACAGGGAAATTTTCAGCATATGTGGGACAAACAACCTGCCCCCTAGAGAACTTGCAAATGCATGACAAGACCTCTTGGCTTAGTGCAAAAGGGCTGCCATCTGTGGAACAATCACTTTGGACAGCTGAGAAACGGCAGTCTCCTGAGCAGAGTCTTTGTCCAGGCCAAGAAGCAGCATCTACGCCCTCTGCAGAGCAGATATTTTGGCCAACGGAACGATTGTGCGCTTTTGAACAGCCCCCTTGGCCTGGAAGGGAAGCTGCGCTGTCTTCGGGGCAAACTTCGTGGCTGACCAGAAACATTCAGACATTTGAGCAGATTACTTGGCTCTCTGGGAAAGCACAAACACCTGTGGGGCAGGACATTTTGCCTTTGTCTGAACAAAATGCGGTGCTAGTACTAAACCAGGATTCTCCTGGCCACGAACCTACTGAGTCTAAACCTAAATGAAGCCAGTTTGAGGCCAGACGGGTCACCATATTTGTTTTGTTTGTTTTTAAAAATTGTATGGGGAAAGGTATTTTGTTTTTGGGTTTTTTAAAAAATCATTTCCCCAGATCCTTAACCTTCAGCAGCAACAACAACTTGCCCAACCTATACAGGTACATTTACCTAAACCTGAATAGTGCCCAACCAAGGAGCAAGAATGTAGATGGTCTGTTCCTTCTTCATTTTGCAAACAATAAAGCTGAAATAAAGGAATCCACTGTGGATAGAATCTCTAATTCCATTGAAATAGTTAAATCACTAATCTTGCACGTCTGAGTGGCAGACCTGCATTAATGGTGTGTTTTCTAGATTACCCCTAGGTGATTCCAAAGACGCAGGTTTCCTTCCCCCTGTCCATGTGAGATGCAGGTGCTCCGTTTGGCACTGGCACCTCACTTTTCCAAAATGTTTAACTTATGAAACCGGTTATTGGAGAAGGGAAGGGACTTGACAGTTTTTCTCCCCTTTTCTCATTCCTTGCAGTTCTGTTGTAGAAGTGTTTGCTTGACATTTTGCTGCCAGAGCTTGTCAAAATCAGGTGCTTTGGGGGGTGGGGGCAGGTGGGGGGATCTTACTTGAAGTTAAATGAGAAGCTCAGTTTTTCCAGGCAAACCCATTAACTCCTCTGTGAACACCAAAAGTTCCCTCACAGACCCTGCAAGTGGAAGTGGGGATGAACAAAATTTGAAGTCACCTTCTACCAGTATTCTTACTTTGGGACTTAAAGCTTTAGCCTAGTGCAGTCAGAACTACCACTTCAGAATTGTGACCACTAAGATTGCAAACCTATGGCTGCTAAATGGTATCTAGAAAGTCGTAGGAAAGTTCAGATTTCCAGCTCCAACTTTGGAAACATATTCCAAAGTTGAAGCCTGAACTCCACCCCTACCCCGCTCCACCCTAACAGCCGGCACAGTTCTTTCTATACTGGCTGCAGCTCCAAGGACGGAAGAGCAACCTCAAAGACAACTTTGGCTGGGTGCTCTAGGGGATAGGGAGAAGAAGAGGAGACTGCTGGGATATGATGTATCCTGGTGGGCCCTTGGCCTATTCTCCTTCCAAACGGACAAGAAGATTAGCTAAAATAATATGTCAAAGTGTTTCACAGGCAGGGGAGGTGCAGAGATGATCTTCACTTCTGCACTTGTTCCATCTCAGTAGGATATATCTAATATTCCAAGGGACAGAGGCAGCCACTTTGGATGGTTCTGTAAGCGTAAGACCAGGTTAGAGGAATGAATAAATCTTTCTTCTGGACTTTGCAGTGCATCATTGCTGTTCCTTAACTTTTTTGTCCACCCTAATCTCTTTAAAGCCACAGTTGTTAGTCATTGTGGACAAATGGAACTTATGTTGCACTCTACCACTACAATGTGTTCTTAAAAATAAAGTTGGCATTATTTATTGTGGTGCTAACAGCTTTGTTACATTCCTCTGGCTAATGTAAATTCTACTCATAGCCTATTAGAAAATTCATGTGTCCAAGATGGAAAATTTATTGTTAATTTTACCTGGTTAGTCTCTGACATAATGCCTCTGTAGTATTACCCCAAAATGACTGAAAGACAACTTGAACTTCATTGGGCCACACTGAAGAGTCTCTGCATGTCAGAAACAGAGATAGTCAAGGTCATAGTTCTCACACTGGAACGCAAAGGGCTCCAGCAGCTGCCTGATATCTCTGTTCTTTTCCTTCATCTCCATTTAACAATTAATACAGCCTTTTATGCTGGCCAGGTTGCCAGGTTTGTATTCTGTATAAATCTGGTGGAAATGTTACCTGCAGACAGAAATGCAGCTTGCTGTGGTACTAATCAGGTATCACTATAGAATTATAGGTGGAAATCAGAGAAGTTACTACCTGGGCCTGGATACAGCTGCGTTTCTACTGATTTGGGATGTAGGTGAGACAGGCAGGCATACCATGCAGCTACTTCACACTATGGTTACAGTTCAACACTATGATGCCAGGAAGCAGCTCAACCATCACCTCACCCTAACCCACACCTACTACAAATGTTTGGTTCCTTTAGGTTCTCCTTAATTTGCACAGCTGAAGTCGCACAGTTGTCATGCTCTAGCTTCAAGCAACAGACTTTTGGCCAGCTCCCATTTTGTTCTTTTTAGATTTCCAGGTTTTTGTGCAGATCAGTGAGTCCTAGTTCGACCCTCTCCCTTTGGAACATTCTGGGGTATTCAGATCCTATAGGCAATTGCCAGTATTGCAATTGGTAGGATACAATGGCAGCTCAAATTCTGATCCATAACTTTTTTCAGTGTTGATTTTCCACAATGATGATACATGCTCAGCACTGCAAAATATTCCCTGTGCAGTTGTGCACTTCATCCTCTCCGAATCATTTCACTCTCTCCAAGTACAACTAGTGACTTTGTAAAGCATTATGGCCAATGAAATCTTAGTGCTTAAAGTTGGTTTTCCTTGAAGACCTACAGGCTCATTGCTGAAAATGGGGAAATGCAAACACCTTTGTTTCTGCGTGATTCCTGAACCTGCAAAGGGAAACGGAACACTTCTTCTGAATGATTGAGACAGAAACAAGAAGCCAAGGGCATTTTACTAAAACATTTTTAATGAAAAGATCATCTTTTCAAGCAAGCCAATCTAGTCATAAGGTTCAGCAGGTCAAATGTGGGGGAACCCTCTCCCCACAGAGCTCTAAATTTTACATATCTAGGCCTTCCCTGTGAGCTGGACTTTGTCATGTAGACTGTGTATTTAGGGCTTCCTTTGTACCAGCCCCTCCCAGCCAGCTGTACCTGTAACAAGAAAGACACTGCACTGCTTTGTCCAACTCTGTTCTTGCAATGTCGTGTGTTTTAACTAGCTATTTGTTTCATGGAAAAATAATAAACTGTGAATATTTTTGGTGGAGGCTATTTCAAATCTTTAAAGCAGAGAACATTTCATTTTGAATCACTTCTCCTAAGCAAGTTCTAGGGAACAAATATGTGACACTATAGTAAAGGGGATTCAGTGCAGCAGCACATTCTGAATCTTTGGCTAGGATCTCTTGTTTGAATTAAGGTAGATTTTTTAAAAAATGCATGGCATTTCCAATCTGTTGCCTGGTGATTCCCCCTATCCTTCTCTTTTCCCTCAAGAGTATCTCTGTACAGATTCTGTTTTATTGCCTGCTCCCTCCCTGAATGATTCATTTCATGGAAACAAGAAATCAGTAAACAAAAACTAAGGCATCTGAAGGCATGTATGTGGTGCATTTGTGTGTCCATGCAAGTCTGCAGTACAGCGTTATCCAAAAAAGAAGGCATCTTCCAAGTATGGAGGCTGGTGCCTAGTTTAATGAGTGAGCAATGAAACCAAAACTTAAGGAAATGTGAAGAAACAGTAATCAGCAGCTGGCCCTTGCTTGGCCAACACAAGGTACAGGTAGTTCCCCTGGGAAATGGGAAGGGTTGCTCATTTGCATGAGGTCAAACATTTTCCATCAGGAGGACCAAGCAGAGGCTGAGTCTTTCAATACTTTGATGAAATCTTGAACATGAATAGCTGACCAAAGGGACGCCACACAGAAAAGTGGCAGAAGAAGCACTCAAAATGTCCATTGCATGTCCTTTCCTAGCCCAAATTTGAAAGTACTTTTGCTAAGTGCTGAACTGCCAGAAATAAAATTTACCTTTGCCTCTGAAACAGGAATTGAGGGTGTAGTCTGCTGTTGCTTACATGGTACTTTCCTAGGGTGTAAATGATAAAACTTCAGATCTTATTAGACTCTAATTTCTATCAACCCTAACTGGCCTCACAGATAGTGACTGATAATGAGGGTGGGAGTTAACACCTGGAGGGCCAGAAGTTCTTAACAGTCTCTGTGCTTCACACATCTGGACTTTGTGCCTACAGAGAGCCTATTGTCAGCAAGCTTCTACAGCTAAGCATTCATTTGGGCAGGAGCCACTCCCCTTCCTGTTCCTTTTCAACCGTCGTCACACCTAGATCATGGATTGCTTCGCTTTCTTCCACTCTGCATTCTTCTCTCAATTTTTCCCCTACTCTTGCCCAGAAGAACTTCTCCTTTCCCAGCTCTTTGGCGAACCCATTTCCTCACTCTTTACTTGAAATAAAAACTACAAAATATTTTTTCTACCCACTCCCCCATCCACTGCTCTTTGTGTCCCAAGTTGCTGTGCCCCTCTGTTTCCTCCTCTTTCTGCCTTTCCCATCTCCCACAGTGGTGTCCTTGGCAGCTTTTAGGAGCTTTATTGCCACCCAACAGCCATTCCCTCTGCCCCTTTGCTTGGGCAAGAGACACGTTGTGCTCATTGCCAGGCCTTCATGAAGCAGACCTGGAAACACCTGGCTGGCTGGCTCAAGGCCAAGCTTTGGCAGAAGGCCCTGCAAGTTGCAATCTCTTCCAGGAAGGGTCAGGCCTCTCCTTCCAATTCTGCGGCAATCCCCGCCCCCCCTCCCCCGCAGCTGAACTATGACAACCACAGCAAAGTTGCTTGCCAGGTGACCACATGCCCAAGAAGGCCACAACATTTCTAAAACAATGGCCTCCACCACTGTGCCCAAACAAGGTGCTGCATGAGCCCCAGTCAACCAGCAACCCATCAACTGCCAACCTCCTCCAATCCCCAGAGTCGAGGGGCCCCTATTGCCAAGCTAGGAAGAGAACTGGGAGCTTGGCCTGCCATATCACCAGGCCACCAATCTCCATGGATGTCTATGCCCAGAAGATCATGTTCCTGGAAGTTGACACCAATGCCACTCAACTCATCTCTGCAATGCTCCCTGGGTACTCCCATGAGGCTGACAGCACCAATGATGGAGAGCGGTTTGATGCCGAAACAACCCATCACACCAGCCATGATGCCGCACTTGGAGGCCATGGAAAATTGGGTCCAATTCCACTGTTAGAGATTGGGACTGGGCCTCCAATTGTTCCCCAGTATCCTTCCACTCTGGCGACAAGTCCAGCTCCTCCTGTGATGTGTACCATAAACCATGGTACTAAATTGATAGTGGACCCTGGTACTGAGACAGGCACCATGACACTGATGTGAAGAATGTGTGAGCTGACACCAACCCTCAACACCATACTGATGTGGATGCCAGCTATCCACCAGCCACCACCCTTCAAAGTCCACCCATTGGTGACCACTTGACACCAGGCTCCAGCTCTGAGCTGATGCCAGGTCCTGGAAGCAGGCCATCACCGGGACTTGATGGCCGATTGCCTCTCTGCCTTGGTACCAAGCCAACATCAGCCATTGGTTCTGGATCAACACTCCCTGGCACCATCAACATCGAGGCTATGAAGTCCTTCCTGCCCTCCAGCCTGGAAGACTGTATCTCTGACTCTGAGTCAGTCCTCACACTGTCCTTGTTGGAGTTGTCCTCAGATGTGACTGTGTATTCCCAGGACCCAGCATCCCCCTCAGAAGAAAGGGGACATTTCTCAGAGCAGGTGCTCCAGATGGCCAGAAACCAAGGGCCACAGATTGGGCTGGAGACCAAACACCAACAGGACCAAGTCATTGACTCAGTCTATGATGCCCTGGATT